ATATAAATATAGTCTCTTGAAATATCCCAACGATTCCAGAAATAATCAATATTTCGAAGTCCAATATAAAAATGAAAGACAAATAATTCAATATGGAGAAATATCAGAAAAATACGATAAATACGAATATAAATCGTAGGAACCCACCCCCACCCCAGATTAAGCCGAAAGTCCTACGAGAAGGAATGGGGATCGATCGATCGGCATCCACAAATCGAATCAGTTATCTGCTATGCCAATGAAAATCATCAATACGGCCGATGACGCGCCACTGACATCAATAAGTGCCCACGCCTGGTTCCAATTCATCACCTCGGAAGAAGAAACAACCTGGCTCCAAATGCGCGAAATCAATCACCCACTACATTCATGAACGAATCTCCGAATATTTCCCTCCGTCTCGCCCTCGGCGAGCTGGGCCGTCCGACAACGTTCGAGAATGTGAGATATATCACGTTGGACATCGACAGAGATTCGTCCTTTCAAGAAGGATTTCGTTGAATCATGAGGTTTACTCAAGAGGGTCATATTCTTGACATAGACTTTTCAAAAGTTGATTGGCTCCAAGCTCGCATCCTCCCATGGTTTCGAAGACGATGGGTCCGAAGCTTATTTGATGAGGTTGACACGATTCTCGGGTGCCCCGATCATTTCGTTTCTCATCTGCACAAGCTCGTGCGGTCTCCCCGCTTCGGAGGCTGGATTCCCGATTGAAAGCGAAAAGGGGGAGACTAAAGCGAAATCGAGAGCGAGCTGTGAGTACCGACGCCGCTGATTTTGACGAAGCAGAGGGGCACTGATTGAGAAGAATGCCCCCGGTCGGCGTCCGGGATCGTGGGAAAGTAAACTTCCGGGTTCAGATTTGGGTCGCACGGAAAATCGGGTCTCGAAGAGTACAGTGCGTTCGAGTTCTCATGCCTGCAGCCGTGCAAGTCATACAATGGTGTCCACGGCTACCCTCTAAGTCGGATGTTTTTCGGCGTCCTGCACCAAGAGAATGACTGCGGACCCGAGCCTGCCTCGAGGGTCCCAGAGAAAGCTGCGAAGTGTCAAGGGTGCAATCAGCGATGAGCCGTTAAGGAGGCAATTAAGGGCTTGTATGTTATTGTTAGCAGGGTTTCGCTGTTGTCCGTTGAGCCCTATATTTTGCCAGAACCTGCCAAGAAGAAGCCTTGTCCTCTTGCAAGCTCCAGACGCTACTTGCCGAGCTCATGCTTGACAGGAGCAGACAAGTCATGCAACCTGATCTTGACACATACATAGGCTCGGTACCCTAAAGACGAGTGTGTGGGGGGGGGGGGGGGGGGGGGGTGACTTAATCTGGAAGATCTTGTGGGATGGGACACCCTCTTGGCCATGAGGTTTCAGGTCCCTGGGTCTCATTCCCAGCTTCGATGTCATGATGAGTCATGATGTCCCTTGAAGACTATAGAGGGCTCCCGAGTTGGGAGTGAGAGATTCTGAAAGTTTATAAAGCCAGGAGCTCGACTAGGCCTCCGTGAGGCGGAACTTCATAACAAAGTTTTGACCAGTCCAGTCGTCACGGGGAACAGGAGCTCATCTACGCAGCTGCTCAGCCGAGGAAAAAGAATCGCGGAAGTTCGCGTGCTCGGCAAATTTTCCTGGTGAGCATGACATGGGGCCTGAGCATACATTCCCCTACACCAGAACCAGCAATGTCTTTATCTTGTGCTTTTGGAACTCAAAAGAACACCAAACCTAATGTACGAGGAGACCCTAGTGAATGGAATTATGCCTAAACCCTAAGCGCTACAAGACTCCCATGCCCACATCCCCCCCAAAACCCTGAACCCACTTGGGAGCTTGTTGAGCTCATTTGAGAGGGTGCACATTAGGGTTTAGGGTTTAGGGGTTTAGGGGTTTTAGGGTTTTAGGTTTTAGGGTTTTCGGGTTTTTAGGGTTTTAGGGGCTTAGGGTTGTAGGGTGTGGTGGGTGCCCAAGAGCACGCGTCTTGCAACTCGAGGTGCAGTACTGAAACGCCACGAGCGATGCTGCCATAACAGCCATCCCGGCGAAGAAGGAGTAGGTCGTGTAGCGGTTCCTTTAGGGTTTAGGGTTTAGGGTTTAGGGTTTAGGGTTTAGGGTTTAGGGTGACCCCGGAGTAACCTAGGAATAAAAAGGGTACACGTTTTGGGTTTAACGGGATGAGAACTGAACCCCAACCCCAAAAAAGGAAATACGTGCCGACTCCGGGTCCTAGCTTTGCAGTCATGTTATCCGAAGCAAGCAGTTAGAACCTTTGAGCAAAAGAAGCTGTAGTGCCCCCATGCATGTCCCCAGACTTCCATGTGCCCAAACTGCCTAGGAAGAAAGAATGAGGCTCATGTAGAGATAAGTCATATTGCGCTTCATGGTTCAGGGTTCATGTGTGAACTTGTGGGCTGGACATGTGACATGCGTTGCCCGAGCCTTGCTCACTCCATGTGGGCTGAGCCTTGTAAGCCAAAGTCATACAACCAGCTGTCAGCTCCAGACCCTAAACCCTAAACCCTAAACCCTAAACCCTAAACCCTGAACCCTGAACCCTGAACCCTGAACCCTGAACCCTGAACCCTAAACCAGGAACTCTAAACGCCAAGGCTCTCCGGGTCGTACTTCAGCGCTGTGGGGAGAAGCTTCTTGAAGGAGATATGTATCTCACAGGAGCTTCGAGAGGGTTCAGGAAGCATGGTTCCCTTTCAAACCTCTTTGCTGAACTCTAAACCCTAAACCCTAAACCCTAAACCCTTAACCCTAAATCCAAACTTCTTCGCTACGTACGGGATGATCCTGGGAGTGCACCAGTGTAATCATGTCGCTCACGCAGAGTTCTGCCCAGATTTCATGGACTTTGCCACCTACGATGAGTGGCTTTGTGCTTCTGCCGTCAACCACTTTGAGGTTCATGGTACTTAGAACCATGTTAGGACACTTAAGGGGCTCATAAGTGGGTTATAAGTACAGTTATAATTGGTTATTAAGTACCATGAACGCCAAGCAGTCAGATGCCTTGAAGTCTCAGAAGTTTTTCGTGCGCTGCAAGTTTGGCTTGCGCGTTCGGCCCTGAGAATACACCCCAGTGCACCCGAATCCCGAGTCATCAGCCTCCCCGGCAATGAAGATGGGAATGCTCTAACTTTGGAGTTTGGTGGCTTTTCGGGCTGAAGAGTTGAGATTGCTTTGGGCTTTCGATGTTTCAACAGACCTGCAGTGAACGCAGCTTCGTGTGACTTTAAGGCTTAGTGGACCGACCCATCCTGAAGCCCCCTAAACCCTAAACACTAAACCCTAAACTCTAAACCCTAAACCCTAAACCCCAAACCCTAACCCTAAACCCTAAACCCTAAACCCTGAGCTCCCGCACCATGACGCCCGCGATGATGCCGAAGAGGATGGCGAAGGTCACGGGGCCCACGAGCTCGCGCAGAACTAGCCAGCCCAGCCTTGGGGCAGGTTTAGGGTTTAGGGTTTAGGGTTTAGGGTTTAGGGTTTAAGGTTTAGGGTTTAGGGTTTGGGTTTAAGGTGCCAAATCCAATTAGAAAGCTCCGAATTGATGAGGATGAACCACCAGCAAGAGAAGCCAAACTGGGACCTTCTTGTAAGGGTTGAAGTTTTAAGGATGTGAAAGGTGACTAATGCCTTGAGAGACCATTGCCCTTGTGAACTTCTCTCTCGTGGTGACTGGCAGCATTTGGAGTGTTCACCGCCACAAAACCAAGTTGCGCAGAGTTTGGTGGAACCCTAAGACCTGAACCCCAAACCCCAAACCCTAAACCCTTTGTGAAGTGTTGACCTGATTGACCTTTAGCATCTAGGCCCACAGGGATTAGAGTTTAGAGATAAGCCCTTACATACCAAAGGGGTTTCAGCATCTTTGAACATGATGGTTTCAGCGGCCGCTGTTCTCACCTTACACCTTCTAGAAGAAAATTTCGAGCACTTTGTGGCTTGGGGTTTGGGCACGGTTTGGGACGTTCGGCTTTGCGATGTCAGGTTTGACATGAGGGTGGGTAGTCGACTCAGCTTAGGGCGAGGGCTTTCGGCAGCGACATCCACATGTTTGCTACGCTTGGTCGAGGGTTCCGAGTCAAGGTCCATGTCGTGGGTTGTATTTCAGACTTCAGGTTTCGGCCGGCGACTATACTAGCGCTGCAACTCACAAAGCTCTCAACCCTACACCCTAAACCCTCTGCCCCAAAACCCTCTCAGGTAAGAGGCAAGTCCGTTCTGGACCCCCGCCTCTTCAAATCGCCCTGTAGATAGATACGCATCAACTTTCCGCAGCCAGGGAACAAGCCGCCCAACGGCTCGGACATTCCAGACAAGAAGGCCCAAAGGAAGGCTTTACCTTTTTTGGAGGTTCCGGCAATAGAAGGGGCCATGGGCTTTGGCTAGTATCGTCTCGCGCCTTGGGGGCTGTCCCAGGATTTCGGAACTTGAGTTTGAGAGGTAAAGGACTTGCACGTCAGAAAACTTGGCTTTGAGGCTCTTCAAGGCTGTAGGGCGGTGTGGTCTCCAGGTTGATAAGTCCAACAGGTTTACGGTTTCAGCTCTGGGTTCAGGTGGGTGGTTGTCAAAATTATCATCCCTTTTGGGGTACCCTAAATATTAGGTGCCGTATTAGAATAGGGATCCAAAAGGGACCATAATCTTGACAACCACCCAGGTAGCTTCAGTTTTTAAGGGGGGAAAGGGGAATCCCGAGCTTTGCAGCAAGGATGCTCCTGGAGTTCGTCGCCTTCAAGATCGGGGCAGCGACGGCCAAGCCTCTGCGCCAGAAGCCCTCATGAGGCCCAAATCTCTTGTTGGGTGGAGTTGAGGCTCTGCCGAAGAAGGTGGTCTGGACACAGGGTATAGGGTTTTGTATGTACAGATGGTTCTACTTGTATGAGGTGATGTTGGGGAACACTGGAGCTTCAGTATGCTAGAGAATGTACTATAGGGGCCCTGTTAAAGTGAGAACACAGTACACAGGGTAGTACATATGGTCATCTCTCAAAATGATGGTCCCTTTTTGGGTACCCGGAATACGAGGGGCCGCCTTACAATACGGACCCCAAAAGGGACGATATTTTAGAGAAGCGACCATATTGCCATACGCATAGTACAGGGAATTATGAATGAATAACATGGTGCTTTCCGAAATTAGGGGTACCTTAGTGGGGTCCTGATTAGAGGGGTGTCCTATTATTGGGGGGTCTATTTTAAGGGGTCCCTATTTTCGTAAACCCCCACACAAGTAGTCAGAGTCAGGGGTCAACTTCGAAGGCGCTCTGCTTCATCCGCCTCTTGCGACTGCTTCATGACATAGCATGGTGAGCAACCGGACCAGGAGCCTAAACCCTAAACTTCAAACCCGAAACCCGAAACCCGAAACCCTCCTAAACCCTAAACCCTAAACCCTAAACCCTAAACCCTAAACCCTAAACCCTAAACCCTAAACCCTAAACCCTAAACCCTAAACCCTAAACCCTAAACCCTAAACCCTAAACCCTAAACCCTAAACCCTAAACCGCCCCGCGTGGCCGCGCCTTCAGGAATGTTGTGGATGGCAATTGCAAAGGCCTCAGGCAATCGGCGCCAAGCTCTGAGTTCTTCTTGGTTTAGGGTTTAGGGTTTAGGGTTTAAGGTTTAGGGTTTAGGGTTTAGGGTTTAGGCTTTAGGGTTTAGGGTTTCAGGAGACTTATGGGTCACTATAAGTAGGAGAAGGTAATTTTCAAGCTTGTTCTGGGTCATTACAAGTAGGAGCAAGTGTTTTTCAAGCTTGTTCTGGGTCATTAAAAGCAGGAGAAGGACTTTTTCAAGCTTGTTATGGGTCATTATAACTAGGAGAAGGTGTTTTTCAAGCTTGTTGTGGGTCAATATAAGTAGGAGCCGTTGAAGGCATTTTGAAGACTTGTCTCATGAGGGACTTGCAGCGCTATCTGTGGATTGCGCAGCTTCTCCAAATTTGGAAGCCCGCATTCTACACGCCACTTTCGCAGCGCACTTGATAAGCCTACATCCCAAAACTGCCCGGTTCTTCATCATCTTGTTCGCCAACGCAGCCAAACCTAGCAAGGACTCTGAACTTCGAGTGAAGGGTCTGGGATCTCAGCTTGTCCTAGGACTTGAAGCCCTTGCAGACCTAAACTCTAAACCCTAAACCCTACACCCTAAACACCTAAACCTTTAAACCCCTAAACCCCTAAACCCTTCACCCCTAGGCCCCGGCCATAGGAGGACCAAAGCTGGGATCTGCCATGGTTGCAACAAAAGTTGCAAGGCCTCGAGACGGGGGCTTGGCGATGGCTGGGCATGGGTGGGGCTTCTTCGTTTAGGGTTTTAGGGTTTCAGGGCTTTCAAGGTTTTTAGGCTTTGAGGGGTTTTGTAGGTTTTAGGGATTTAGGGTTGTAGGGTTCGAGGGGCGATGACAGTCCCAGCGCCTTCCGGGAAGTTGTGCAGCGCGATGGCAACGCCGGAGAAAGCTGCCATCTGAAGCATGTTCCTGGGCTCGCGGGCCAGCCACTCAAGGTCAGCTTAGCTCATTTTTTGCCCAGGTCCCTAAACGGTTTGGGCTTGGGACGAAATGACCAAACCAAGCCGCATTCGTTCCGTGCCACCAAGAGGTTTTCGGCTTTGGCCCGGTGCTTCATCCGCTGTTGGGCTGACCTGTGCAGACCCTGAGCGCGCAACACCCTCTGATGAAGTAAGATGCCCTAGTTGACTATCAGGACCATGCACAACGTTGCTCTGAACCTAATTGGTGGACACAAGACATGAAAGAAACAGGGAGCAAACAGGATTATGCCAGCGTAGATCCCAAAACAGTGAGACCACCGCTCGAGGTATAGCGTCCACGTATCTCGCGCGAGCAACTCAATCTAACACCCTCTTACTCTGCACGCAAGAGCACCTGTGTGGGCACACTGTTTGGGGAACTACTGCTTGGACAGTCGACAACAGCGCAGCAGGTAGCCACCTACAATATACTGTGGTCTACCGCAGAGCACTAGATTCCGTCATACCACAGGATCTAAATGATAATATGTGGTCGTATGTAGCAGTATACTGGCGTCTGTAAATGAAAAATCGTGTTGTAGAAGATATTCCCAGCATACTAGAGTCCATTATCAATTACCTCAGTAAAAAGCTTCGCACTGCAACTTCTTGGGGGTGTGCCCTAAGCTCCCAAACGGCAATCTCTAAACCCAACACCTTAAAGCTGGACCCTAAACCCTAAACCCTAAACCCTCAACCCTAAACCCTAAACCCGAAACCCTAAACCCTAAACCCTTCTTCACCACTTTCCAGCCTCGATGTCCTGATGATCGGCCACGCTGCTGCCCGCGGAGCCCTGCAGAGAGCTGCAAAGCTTGGTGGGGTTTAGGGTTTAGGGTTAGGGTTTAGGTTTAGGGTTTAGGGTTTAGGGTTTAGGGTTTAGGGTTTAGGGTTTAGGGTTTAGGGTTTAGGGTTTAGGGTTTAGGGTTTAGGAGATTCAAAGGGTCACGATAGCTGAGTTTAAGCATTTTCAGAGTTTAGGGATTAGGTGGGTTGAGAACTTTAGGGTTTAGCGTGTAGGGGGTTGAAGAACTTTAGGCGTGGGGTGTGTGAGCATCCATGATCACACGCGCCTCCACCAGTTGCGAAGGGGCGCTGGTGCTGGAGCATGCCGACTGTGCCTGTTCCCCGCGCTGCTGCCTTATCACGCGGTGGAAAGCCCCCCGGCTTCGCGGTCAACTGCTGCCTGGCGATGCTTTCTCACCGCGGTGGTGGCCCCACGGTTCGCAGTGGACTTCTTCATTGCCAAGCTTCTCACTGTAGTGGTATCCCTACGGTTTGCGGTGCAATTCCTTGTTGCTATGCTTTCTCACCGCGGTATCCACACGGTTCGCCGTCAACTTCTTCGTGGCGGAGCTGTCTCACCGCTGTTGTATCTCAACCCTGAACAGTTCGTGCTCAAGTTCTGTTTGGTGCGGTGGTGCTTTTTCAGTGCGGTGGCATCCCGGCGGTTCACGCGCAATTCTTCGTGGCAGTGCTTTTTTGGCGCAGCGGTAGTTCTAGAGGTCAACGTCTTCAAAGCGGAGTCCACATCGGTACCCGCTACACCTGTGACTTGGCTTCTTCGTCTCTCGTCGTTTTGTTGCTGTCGTTGTTGCTGTAGTGTGCTGGCAGCTTCAGCTTTGGCCGGAGGTGATGTATCCTCCACTCCACGGCCACGTTGCCATGCGACTAGGTCAGCAATAATCTCAAAATAAAGAGGGAAGCCCTCTTTTTGTGTGCAAGGGCATATAAGGGAACGCTCTAGGTTAGAGCCTGACCCAGATACTACATCCACTCCTTGATCCCAAGTTGTAAATGGAAGAAGAAGCCCCTGTCCTCCCTGAACCCAAACACTTACAGCTCTACCACTCCGGCACCTGACCCGCTGAAGTGGGCTGGATGGCATTTGCGAGTTGATCCGGATCCTGGGATCAGTAACTTCACCCCAAACCGTACACAGTAAACCCTCAAGCCCACACCGGGCTGCAAGCCTTTAGGCTTCTGTGTCTTTTTTCGGTGATGACTTGAGGGCTCTGCTTTCGGCAACCAAAACCCCAAAACCCGAAGCGTTCCTCGGGCTGTACGAAGTGCCATCGAGCCTAAACTCTGCAACGTGGTGGGGTGAACATGGGGGGGGGGGGGAGTGGGGGGTGTGATTCGAAAACGCATTTCGGCCAGTTCATACCATAAGCACAAAGGGCTTATGACAGGATCATGTTTTGCCCCAGCCCGAATCCCACCACTGCTCTGGGCATCAGAAGTAAGACATCCATCGCGTCACCGGCAAACGAAAACGTGAAACCACGACATCCCCTCCAGGGTTCGGGCGCGTAGGGCGAGCCTTGGCCTCACTGAGCAGACGAGCCGCGCTATGCGCCTGCATGACATCCTCAGCATTGCCCTTCTCGAATGCCTTCTTCTCCGAATGGGCCCTGTGGAAGAAGTACCTGAGATCGTTGTGTGCAAAGAGCTGGGAAGCAACTGTGAAGCTCATATTTCCCAACCCTGACGCAATTTCAAACAACGCCAGCAAGATGAAGTTTCGAGAAAGTAGACTCCCTTTTGGAATTCCACCCTACTTTGTTCCCCCACCCCCCTGCATACCCCCTTAATTGTTAGAGCTGGACTTGCTCCTCTCTAGACAGTGCTTCTCCGCTTCGGAATAGGAAAGGAGCTGCCTGGTTTCCGGCAAAAGTGCGCCGCACGAACCATTCACCCCCCAAATCCCTACCAGAGTACCCCTCCAAAGCGATAAAGGGTCCCAGACCAGGGTTTAGGGTTTAGGGTTTAGGGTTCAGGGTTAAACCCCTACCAGGGTTTTCGACATCGCTTCTACCTCAAGTGCTTTGAAGCCCTCCAGCCCTACACAACCCTCCCCCGCCCCCCCTTACTCCCTCCCAACACAAAAACCAGAAAAGAAACAAGTACCGTAAACCCTAAACCCTAAACCCTAAACCCTGAACTTCCTGAGATCGCCCCGAAGCCTGTTCAACCCTTCAGCCCCTGCGCAAAGCCCCCGAACCCCACCCCACCACCCAAACAAAAATGGAGAGTTTAGGGTTTAGGGTTTAGGGTTTAGAGCCCTCACCTAGGTTGGCCCTTTGAAACCCTCTGAACAAAGGTTCCTAGGTATGTGCCTCTTGTACCCAATGAAGGGAAACGTGAAATATCCCCACGGCCCCTGTTGCCACTCCTAAACCCTAAGCCCTAAGCCCTAAACCCTAAACCCTAAACCGTAAACCCTAAACCCTAAACCCTAAACCCTAAACCCTAAACCCTAAACCCTAAACCCTAAACCCTAAACGCCCCCGGGCGGCGTTGCGACAAGCTCGAGGAGCATCGATGCCAGGAGGCCCAGGAAGAGGACCAGAGTGGCGAGCCTCAGAGGAGTCCAACAGGGTTCGGGGTTTAGGGTTTAGGATTTAGGGTTTGGGGTTGAGGGTTTAGGACTTAGGGTTTGGGGTTTAGGGTTTAGGATGCAGGGTTTAGGGTTTAGGGTTTGGGGTTTAGGACTTAGGGTTTAGGATTTTCGAGGGGGGGTCTTGAGGTAGCGAGGTAGGGGGGGTGTCGTTGGGTCGAAGGGTTTAGCGAGCACCGAATTGCCAACCTCCCCTAATGTCGGAAATTGAGCCAGGCTTCGAGAAGGAGTCAGACTCTGAAATGCCGGCTTCTTGGAAGCTTTCGTCGGCCTCTGTAATTTAGGGTTTAGGGTTTAGGGTTGAGCATGTACATGCAGGGCTTCAGGCTTCGGGGCTCCGAGTTTGATCTGGAAGAAAGACGCAAAGCACGCATCAAAGGAACCAGTGGTCGTTTGTGTTTTTCTTCCAACCAACCGTTGGGGACCTGGACAGGGGACAAGCAATCCCAGCAAATCCCTCGCAATTCTCACTAAGTAGGAAGGATTCGCCAGCAAGTTGTGACGCTAGAAGATGCATCCAAGAGTTGTGCCGATGAAATACGCCCGACCTCATGTTCAATCACTGCTAAATCATATGCTTTTGTTGAGGAATTCTGCTCGAAACCAGCCAACTATGGCAAGACCTGTAGAAATGGCAAAGCCGGAACTCACTGCACCCGTGAGCGACATGATGAACAGAGGGTTTCGGACCCTCCCTCCGCCCCACCTTCGGTCACTCGAGCATAGCCATTGGCAGAGCGAAGACAGAAAAGCTGGGGACGTTTTGTGGAAACTCGGCCTGGGAGCCTTCGACTCAGGGTTTTGGGGTTCTATAGGGGCTTCAGACCCTAAACCCTAAACCCTGAACCCCAAACCAAAAACCCTAAACCTAAACCCTCCACCCTGAACCCTAACCCCCCCTTGAAGAAGCGGTCCCAAAGAACGTGCCTCTGGTGTGCCCTTTCGGAAGGTTCTATTTTTGTTCAAATCAAGGTTGTCGTATTTTTTGGGGGGTCTATTAAGGGGTACGTAGATTTGGGAAATGCCCAGATAAGCGGGCATCCCATTTGCCCAGCGAATAGAGGGGATTGAGTGCGAGAGTGTATGGACTTGGTTTAGGGTTTAGGGTTTAGGGTTTAGGGTTTAGGGTTTAGGGTACGTTCAGACCCCACCCTGCCTTTCCGATGATTTCCACGAAGGAGACATACGTCATCACCCCTGCCTGAGGAATGCTTATGTCTCAGGGCCTGCCACCCGAAACCCTCAAGCCCGCCAAGATCTTGAAATCTGCGACACATGAGTGTGTAGCTCGAGACTTTCTAAGAAGTCCTCCTACATACACTCGAAGAGGGGCTTGCTGTATAGACACGTTCAACGGAAGGGTTCCTTCCAATAAGGTCCTTCAAAGGGACCGAGCCCTGTAAAGTCACTCTAAAGGCTTTCGTTCCCTCAAACCCTAAACCCTAAACCCTAACCCTAAACCCTAAACCGTCGTAAGGGAAGAGTGAGGCGGAGCTTGGAAGCCTGGTCAGCTGGCTGGTTCTTCGTAGCAAATGAGGGAATGAGGTACCTAAATAAATAAATAAAATATAAATACATAAATAAATATTCATACAAATTTATAAATATATAAATATATAAATATATAAATATATAAATATATATATATATATATATATAAGGTATATGCTCCCTGAAAGGGGAAGAACAGGGCCCTACTTCCCTCATTCCCTACTAAGAGCCAGGGGGGGGTAAGGGCAGAAGGCCAAGGAAGGCTCTAAACAGAGAAGGTTCCATTGCAGAACGCCAGAACGTTCCACTGCAGCGACCAGAACCCCGAAGAACCCAGGAACTTAGTTTGGGGAAAGGATCGAGCCAATTGAGAAGTTTTCAATTTCCAGAGGCTTCAGGCTTCGCAGCTCTCAGGTTCTACGTCCTTATTTGTGGGGCATAGCTCGCAGCTTTCAGTCCCTAAACCCTAAACCCTAAACCCTAAACCCCAAACCGCGTCTCCAAAGGAGGTGCGACGTCTTTCAGAAGAACCGCCGAAGGAAAACTGAGTAACTCATGAATTAGCTAGGCAGCTGCTTAGCTTTCTTGAACTCAGGCTGCCGCAGACAATCACGTTTCCGCACTACGTCGCTTGGAGGGTCGGTACCCAAATCATTCGGTTCTGATCTACACCTTATATACACCACGGTGGCAGCGAACGACTCCGCGAGCTACTTGCAACGACTTCTTAAACACCGTTTCGTGGCCTTCGAAGGATCCCGAGGCCGGTCTGGGTTTAGGCTTGCAGTGTGTTGTGCCTTTCGCATGTCTGTTTGTTTGTCGACCACCTGACCCATAAAACTGCGACAACTGGACGCTTGTGACCGCGTGCCTTGCTCCATACACCCCGGGCATGTCTCAAACGTGATGTACAAACAACGAGGAGCTGAAGAAGAAGAAGCAGTGCTCTTACATAATTTTGGCCGCTTTTGGACAAACATGCCAAACACGCTGCCAACATCAGGGTTTTTGCTTCTTGCTTCCAAAAACACCAGAAGCATCTTTCGGCTGCGCAGAACAAGGCAAAAGCACCGCAAACACCAGTGCTTTGGGCACGCTCGCAATAAATGAATGGACAAAACTACCCCCCCCCCCCACACACAACACAGCAATTCACTGGAAGTCAAGAGAACACACCGTCGTCACTCAAGGGCGTCATTGCCGACTTGGAGGTTCATGGTACTTAGGAGCCAACTATCACTGTATTTATAACCCACTCATAAGCCCCTTAAGTGCCCTAATATGGTTTCAAAGTACAGTTCTAATCCTAGACCCTAAGCCCTAAACCTTAAACCCTAAACCCTAATTGCTGAATAAGTACCATGAACCTCCAAGTACGAAGCAGCCGACCCGAGCCGACCCGAACACTTGAAGCGTGGATCGCCTGCCTGCAGAACTCGACACATGATACCTAAGAAAATACTAACAGCAATCGTAAGGGAAGAAAAGAAGGGTTTAGGGTTTAGGGTTTAGGGTTATGTATTCATTGTATCTGAGCCCTTAAAGGGCAGACGGCGAGCTTGGGAGTCTTTGGCACAGGGTCTTGAGATCTGAACCCCTAGAAGGGACCCTTGATCTTCTTCCCCTACAATATAACCCCTACCTTTACCTTACAAAGTCCCTATACACCTAAGGGAGCCCCGAGATAGCCCCTAAGTAATCCCTGATGAGGTTCCTTACAAGGGCCCTTCCTTGAGTCCCTTGCATGTGGGGTCTTGGGGTTACAACCCTTGGTAGCCCAGTAACCATCTTATAACAAGGGCACCCGTTTTTGGTTGGTTACATAAACCCTAAACCCTCAACCCTAAACCCTAAACCCTAAACCCCAAACCCCAAACCCTAAACCCTAAACCCTAAACCCTAAACCCTAAACCCTAAACCCTAAACCCTAAACCCTAAACCCTAAACCCTAAACCTAAACCCAACCCAGAACCAAAAAGAGGGTATAAAGGGTACCACTGGGCTACCAGGAACCCAATCTCGGCCAGGATGCGGACAGAGCCAGGCAGATGGCAAAGACGCGGCTGTCGCTGGTGTCGACACAGAACGCCTGGGGCGCCCCCTTAAGCCCCCCCCCCCCCCTCCTCCCCTCTTAAAGCCACCGCCCTCTTAAGCCCCCCTTAAGCCCCCTTAAGCCCCTTAATGTCCAGAAATTTGCTCAGGTGCTTAGCTCCAAGCTGCAAACTGAGGCTCAAAGTGCTCCGCAACCCAAAGGCCTTTTGCAAAACACAACCCCCGGAAACGCTACGCTCAGCTTTGCATCTTGCCTGGGCAGCAACCCTGGATCCTAAACCCCTTGGGGCTTTACGATAATAGGGGACCCCGAAAATAGACCCCACATAGTAGGTCCCTACAATGAGGACTCCCCAAGAAGACACCAATTTCGGATCCTAAACCCTCAGCCCTAAACCCTAAACCCTAAACCCTCAACCCTAAACCCTAGGGGCACCATAGCAGCTCCAATGGTCGTCGCCATGCCCGCAGCGCAGGTGAGGGCCAAGGCAAAGCCAGCGTCGCCCTAGCAGGTCTGGGGGCTTCAGGTTTCGGAAAACCCTAAACCCAAAACCCTAAACCCCAAAACCCAAAAGCCTAAACTGTAGGGGTTGATGGGGTCAGGGCTTAGGGTGGGAGCTTGGGATGTCTTGCGGAACTTCCTTATGAAGGGTTTAGGTGCCTGGCAATCGCCCGGGGGGCTTCCGAAAATTGGAGCTTTTTTCTGGGGGGAATATTCATAAGGTATTTGGGGATGTTGGGGTATCAGTCTCCCCCACCCACGGAGCAGAACAACAAAACTCATCCATAAGCCCGAAAGCCCCCAAAAAAGGCCTGGAGCCCTAAAAGCCCTAACCCCCCCCCCCCCCCTTTAGGGTTTAGGGCTTTAGGCTTTAGGGCTTTAGGGTTTAGGGTTTAGGGTTCCGAGCTGGCTCTACAACATGTGCACCTCGCCCTCCACCTGCAAGCGCCTTCCTGTTCTGGCGAAGCTGGGCCTTGGGCCACTGCTGGGGGACGCCAGGGATTGTTGGGGGTGGATTTGGGGGGTGCTTAGGGGATTTTGGGGTGTGAAGTGCTACATAGAACATGCCCCGAGGTCAGAAACTTCAGTCAAGGGGCATGGCTGCAGGGGCGAAGCGGTGCAGCAACGAGTTAAAAAGAAAGGCTCTAATGGACCCTTCGGTTGGGCTGAGGCCCAACCATGTTTGAGCACAGGCAGCAGCAACACACTGAGATTCCTTATGTGGGACCCACCAAAATACCCATGAAAGGTGCCCTAGACCCTAAACCCTCGTCGGCTTTAGTTGGTTGTTTGGGGGCGTGGGGCTTCGGGTGTGGGCTGAACATCTTTGAGACTCAAGAGAAGCCCTGCGCTCCAAAAATTGCAAGCCCCGGAACTTGTGCATTTCTCACTCTTTCTGTCTGTCTCTCTGTGTCTCTCCCTCTCTAAGGGTTTAGGGTTTAGGGTTTAGGGTTTAGGGTCTCTAAGCCCTTGTGTGAACATCACCTCCTGAAACGCAAGTCGATGGCTGACTTCGGGGTGGGCAGCTCCGGTTCTTTTTGATCCGAACCGAGTCCGCATCACTTTGTGCATTCTGCCTTGTGGTGACTACTCTGTGTGGGTTTAGGGACAACGGCGTTGGGTTCATAACTTTCTCACGTTCGGCCACTTGCAAACGAGCGCTCTAAGACACAACCGCCCCAAATACCGAACGCCACTTCCTACGCGACATCCCAAAATGCCACCACGATTTCCTGATCCTAATGTTGCTCTCCTCAAGAAGAGGAAGCCCTTTTTGGTATATTCTCCAGATACGTTAAGGCCGTGTTGAGGGCTGAACCTTTGCCCTAGACCAGCAAAAGGGTGCAATTCTTTTAGGACAACTTTGAGGAGTTGCAATATTCTTACTTCTCCAGTAACCAAGAAGTATGCAAGTCAAACCCCCTTTTTTTTCCTACAGAGGAACACCAAAAGCTTAAAGTTCACCTAATGGCTGAGTAAGTATTAGGGGGGAGGGGATGCATCCCCCCTCGTGTAGACATCAGCAGCAGCTCAGGAGCCTGGCGGCAGGGTTCAGAGGCTTCAGGGTTTCAGGGTTCAGGGTTTAGGGCCAAGCTGAGGGTCCCCAAATACTCGCAAAATAGGGTCTAGGGTTTAGGGTTTAGGGTTTAGGGTTTGGGGAATCATCCTTAACAAGACCTTGGAAATTACCCCACACTGTTCGGAACCCTGTGTAGGCCAAACCGTACACCCTGAACCAATATTATTCCTTTATGGTGTTGGAGGTATCTCTGTTCCAGCCGCCCAGTTTCCAGACTTTCGGCCTTGTGGTAGAAAAACTGTTCGCAAAGGGGGGCTTGGGCTTTATGGTTTGAGGAACAGGCGGAGCCCCAACGCACTTCCTAACTGCTTGGGGTTTAGGCCGGTTTTGCTACCCTACCAGTAACTCAGTACTTGAACTTTGCGGAGCAATCCCTAAACCCTAAACCCTAAGCCATGATTGAGACTCAAGAAGGGGCAGGGGGCCGTGCTTTGGATCAACCGCCATATGAGAGTTTCCGACGGTCTCATGTATACGGTCGAACCCACCTCGAAATCACGCATTTTGCCGGTGAGCGTTTGGGGCCTGCGGCTATTTTTATGGAGAAGATTTGGTCTACTGTTCAACTTCCGCTTTTTCACAAGGACGGCCCTCTCAAACTCCTCAAGCGCCCCAAGGCCCTGCTGAACTTGGCCGGCGGTGCGAAGAGGACTTCTTGCCCTGCGGCCAAGCACGGACCGTTTGGATTTCCGGGCTTTTTTTGCGAGGCGTCCTTGGATCTGCGACCTTTAGGGTTTAGGGTTTAGGGTTTAGGGTTTAGGGTTTAGGGTTTAGGGTTTAGGGTTTAGGGTTTGAGCTTCACGGACTTGACTTGAAGAGAATGGCTGGGTTGGAATGGCGGATGAAAAAGACAAATAGACCCCCCACATGTGAAACCACACCCCGCATCCTGGAACACCTTGAAGATGTAGAGCTTAAGGGCCCAAAGGCTCCAGCCAAAAATTCGATCGCGGAAAGCCTGAACATCTTTAAGCTCCCAAGCCCTCTTTGGGGCAGCCGGCCTTCTTCGTTGCCTGGCAGGAGATGGGTGTTCTGATCTTATTTATATGGGGTTTTCGATACTAGGGGGGGTCCTTCTGATAAGGGTCCCTACTGTTTAAGGGTCTATTTATGCGCCCGCGCTCCGCGCTCTCAACCCGCCCCCCCCCCCCCCCCAACCCCCCCCCTCCCCAATCCAAAAGCCAAAGCCCAGCATGAACCTCGCGGGGTGGGGGGGATACCATTGGGGGGGGGGGTTCGTAAATCGCCACATGGGCTTGGGATCTTTGGGATTCAGGGTTTAGCCTCGCAGCACGATGAAGAGTTCGGGGTCGGTGCTTTGGGTCGCGTGGTTTGAAGGACTTGGGGACTTGGGGGGCGTAGCGCCCTTCACAAACAAGGCAGGGCTTCGGAGCCCCTTGGGGATTGAGGTAACGTCCTTGATTCAGGGAGAATTCCTGGGCTCTCTTCATTTCCGCTGAAGCACCAATTGCTAGCTCAAATATCCAGTAGACTGATTTCCACGCCCCTCCAAGTCCCCAAGCCACATCTCCGAAACCCTAAAGCCCATTTGAGCCCTAAAAAGCTACAATGTGCAATGGCGGCCCTAAGGAAATTGGGTTCCCTTTGTTGTTGGCTCTGACATGAGACCTTCATTCCCAAACCACAAAAACCCTAAACACTAAAGCTTTTGTTGCACTCAACGTTTCGAACGGAGACCCTAAACCCAAAACGCACAAGAACAAGGTGTTGGGACTGACTGAGGGGTTGGAGTCATCGGGAGTCGTTTTCAGCAGTTTAAGCCCCCAAATGCCCCTGGAGCTCCCCGGTTCTGAGCCCTAGTTTCAGGGCATATCTAGCAAGCTGATATTCAAGTAGTTCCTAACCCATAAAACCCAGACCCTGACCCCTAAACCAATACCCCTAAACCCTAAACCCTAAACCCTAAACCTAAACCCTAAACCCTAAACCCTAAACCCTAAACCCTAAACCCTAAACCCTAAACCCTAAACCCTAAACCCTAAACCCTAAACCCTAAACCATCATTCCCCAAGGGTCTGTCGCTCTGACCTGGCCTTGTGGTGCGCATGGTGCGCAGAGGAGCTGGCCAGAACCGGTGGCCTTCAAGACATTTGGGGGGTTTAGGGTTTAGGGTTTAGGGTTTAGGGTTTAGGGTTTAGGGAAATTGTATAGGGTTTGGATCCCAAAAAGTAAGTCTCAGTTGTTTCTTTGACGATAGGGGTGCCAGACCAGCGGCTGGGACATCGACGCAATGTTTTACATGGATGGCAGAACCACATTCCCCTGGCTTCTCCCAATTCCAAACGAAGTAATGGACCTGTTCCTGTCCGCTGGACAGCTTCGCAATTATCCTAGGGTCTAGCGTCCTTCGGGGTTTAGGGTTTAGGGTTTAGTTAGGATCTTCTTGGGGGTTACGTTTATAAGGCGGTCCCGAATGTCTTGCGTACCCAAAAAGGGGCCGTAATTCAGAGAAGTGACCCTTCAAATTTGGACTCTTGGTGCGCGTTTAGGGTTTAGGGTTTAGGGTTTAGGGTGTCGGATTTAAGGTTTCTATCTGGCCTGGAGAAGCTTTCTATCTGCCAGATCCTTGTGAACTCACATTTGCTAATCCGCTTCTTTCATGAAATGCTGCTATATCTTTAGGCAATGCTTGCATTACTTTAGAAATCTCATCACGACATATTATGTTCTTCACTTTGTGGCCATTCTATTTATCTTCTCTTCAGAATTTCGTATTTTCGCATATTCAATTAATGATTCACTTAAAAGTTGTCTTTTCGTTTTTCTTACAGCATTACATTTCTTTCATTGAATTCTTGGTATTCTGCTTCTTGTTATTGTCATATTTTCTTGCGTACACACCTTGTCTGGCCCCTGTAGTTTTTGGCCCGACCATGCATCATCAAACGTGAGAGTGCTGTCTTGGATTTCCTGGTCGGTTGCAGAACTTCCCATGGCGTGCACAGGTGGAGTACGACAAAACTCTAGTCCTAGTAAGCAGGCAAAAGATCTGCCAGATGCCAGATGTGAGTGCAAGGCTCATAGAAACTAATAAATATAAACCATACCCAAAAAATACCAAACAACAAAACGCCTAAACATACTAATTTTGCGGGACTCGTGGGCAAGCTGGGACACTAAAGAAACCCTATACCCTAAACCCTAAACCCTAAACCCCAAACCCTAAACCCTGAACCCTAAACCCTTCACCCTCAACCCTAAACCCTAAACCCGGCAGTCAAGCTCAACGACTCGAAAGGCCCGCACGTCTACCACGAAGGACGTCTTTCCACAAAGTCTAAAGTGATAGCAGTGAAGGATGAAATTAGGCACTGTATTTCTCGCCCCATATTCCCCCTTTTGGGGATGATATACGTACCTTGTTACCCCCCCCCCCCCCCCCATATCCTTTTAGGGAGTGTTTGTAGAACCCCTAAACACTCCATCCTCAAACTGGCTGAAAATGGAACAACCCCACAGCGAGGCTGGGGAACAACAGCCAAAAAACAGCACGCCACAAGGTCAAGTTTCAGACCCTGGCAGTCACTCTATACCGCTTCTTCTGCATGATCAACGGTTGGGCGCCTCACACTGCTCCAAAACAGGTGAGCCAGCCATCTGCGCGAACTTCACAAGTGCGATCAACCTCCGCTGCGACTGCTCAACCTGGTCTCAAACTTGCTTGCACATCACACTGCCCATGTTCACTGTATCCAAAACAAATGAGCTGACCATCTGACCGCACTGCACAAGTATGATAACCGCCAACTCGGACTCGGACTGCCAAAACTGGTCCCAAATCTGCGGGCACATCACACTGCCCATGTTCATTGTATCCAAAACAACTCACTCGACCATCTGACCGCACTGCACAAGTATGATAATAGCCAGCTAAGACGGCCAAACCTGGTCCCGGGCACACCACACTGCCCATGTTGATTGTCTCCAAAGCAGACCAGCCGACCATCTGACCGAACTGCACAAGTATGATAATCACCAGCTGAGGCTGCCAAAACTGGTCCCAAATCTGCGGGCACATCGCACTGCCCATGTTCACTGTATCCAAAACAAGTGAGCTGACCATCTGACCGCACTGCACAAGTATGATAACCGCCAACTGAGACTGCCAAAACTGGTCCCAAATCTGCGGGCACATCACACTGCCCATGTTCACTGTATCCAAAACAGATGAGCTGACCATCTGACCGCACTGCACAAATATGATAACCGCCAGCTGAGACTGCCAAAACTGGTCCCCAATCTGCGGGCACATCACACTGCCCATGTTCATTGTATCCAAAACAACTCACCCGACCATCTGACCGCACTGCACAAGTATGAGACTCACCAGCTGAGACTGCCAAAACTGGTCTCAAATCTGCGGGCACATCGCACTGCCCAAATCCATTGTTTCCAAAACAGATCAGCCGACCATCTGACCGCCCTGCACAAGTATGATAATAGCCAGCTGCGTCTGCCACAACCGTATTGTTGGCAATGAAGCCATTTTGCCTTCTGAAGCAGTTGCTACAACAGCTCCTGGCAACTCTTTGCATGTTTCTGGACGAAGAGTCCACACATGGAAGCTGGGGCAATGTGAAGCGCGACTGCCCCACCGCGGAAACACGATTGTAGCCAGACCGGCCTGGAAGAAACGCCTGCCTTGCCGTGCTGCATGTCCAAGAAAGTATGGCAAGCGCCAGGCCAGCATTCATAACAAATGAGATTTGCATACAGGAAGAGGTATGGCCATCTGGACAAGGAGTGAATGCTAACGCTATTTGCTTCCAGCGAAAACAAGAAACCACAGAACGATGGACTGAGAAGTGTATTCATTAACGTTGGCACCTTCTTAAACCATCCTAAACCCTAGACCCTAAACCCTTCATATTCTTATTTTGACATAAAACTACTTGGAGCTTGCCAACTATGGCTTTTCTGAGATGCATGGGTCTTAGGATGGCATAGAATAGGGCTTCGGGTTTCGAGTTTAGGGATTTGCGGATGTAGTGGGATTGTAGTGCTAACCCCCCCTAACTCTGCAAATAGCTCAGCTAAGCTCTCCAAGAACGCCTCGAAACCTTAAAGCCGGAAGAAGAAGTTGCCAGCCTACGCCCATAACTTGTCAAAAACCTTAGAGCCCTGAACCCCCCCCCCCCCGCCCCTCCCCTCCGAAACTCCCGACCCAAGCCCCTGAACACTGCCTGAGATCTTCGGAGGCTTTGTGTGCGCCCGTCCTCGGAGCCAAGGGGGTTTGAGCTGCCAGCTGTGGCTAGGTTCCCGGGTATCCTGGCTTAGGGTCTAGGCTCAGGGTTTCGGTGTTGTGCTCGACACCCGAAAAAAGCCATCATCCGTAAAATCCTTTGAGCCTTTTCTTTTCTCCTTGTGAGAAGGAAATCAAGAATCATCCTAATTCCGCAGCACAGGCATAGTTCACGGGTTGGGGGGTTGTCACAAAACACCCGCCAACCAGGTTCTGGTCGCTTCAGGAGAAGAGGGCTCTGCGATTTTGCCAGTTGGCGCAGGGTTGGCTTCCACGATTTTCAGGCGGATTGGAGGGTGGGACGCCCTCATACCTGGCAAAACCTGGTTCTTAGGAATGATGGAATTAAGGCCTGATATATATATATATACACCCTGTAAGGAAGTATACGGGTACCTCATTCCCTCATTCCCCACTAAGAACCGGCACCGAAAAGTTTTGGGGTTTCGGGTTCCAGTCTTCTTTCGTCTTGTCGACTCCGTCCACCCTATCTCCCCCATTCTCTGCTAACCAACAGAAAGGGCCTCTAGTGAAGATCAACCCCCAACCCGATGGCCGAAACCCCGACTCCAAGGAATCATCCAAGACTGAGCATCTATGTCCCCTCTTTTCATCCTAGAAGTGACAAATCCTCAACTGAGTCACACGGAATGAGCACGGTCCTTATCTGCAGGAGTTGATTCATGTTGATTCTTTGGGTGCAAAGCTGGTTTTTTTCTTCTGGGCTAATCATCTCGGAATACAGCTTCCGTCGCTAAGTAAGCGGGGCTGTCGGAAATGCACTCGTGCTGCCTCTTAAACCCTACTCCCCGCCCGGCCCAAAACGATTAGTCCTGCGCTTGCTGGGTTTACCTCCCAGAAAGCCGTGAGGCGCGAGCACAAAACTTTTTTCTCCCCAGACAAGAGTTGGCTTGCCGAAAAGCTCGCATGAGTGGTGGTCTTGTGGACCCTTCCTCTTGCGCATGGTTTGGGGCCGGTGCATTGTGGGGATTCCTGCCGCGTGCTTGAGGATGAAGGGATTTTAGTTGACAAGGTTTAGGGTTTAGGGTTAAGGGGGTTTAGGGTTTAGGGTGATTAGGGTTTAGGGGGTTTAGGGTTTAGGGTTTAGGGTAAGGAGGCTCAACTTTTACCCACAAAAAACACTGAAGGCTAAGCGAAGTGGCTGCTGTGGAGGGCTCGGGATGTAGGTTCAAGTGTTTGCACAGCTATGGGTCGTAGGGTCTTGGGCTTAGTTGCCTCAAAAATTGATACTATATTATTTCCTAAATTAATAAATAAATAAATAAATATAAATATATATATATATATATATAGAGGATACTCTATTTTTCCTATATAGCTTGATTATGTGAGCCTGACTTAAGTTCCTGAACAAGAGCTCTGTTCTCGCCTTTGAGCATTATGCAGTCTTTGAGCCACGCTGCAAGAGGAAGCAGCTGCACACCGGAGTGCAATCATGGACTTCTGGGCGGCGTGATGTGGGGGTTTACGATACTCGGGCACGGGTCCTCATTATAAGGGATCCGATCCTACCATTTGGGGGTCTATACTAGGGGCCCCTTGTTATCGGAACCCCCCCCATGCGGTTCAGTGTGTTTGGGGGGGGGGGGGGGCAGGGTTCGCTTTAGATATCTCCCTTCAGTCTAGGGCAGGGTTGGGCCCTTCTGGGGATTGTGGCTTGTGAGCCAAAACCTCTAGAAACGTTATCAATGCTGCGTAAGTTTCAGGGTTCTCAGAGTTCAGGGCTTGGGGCTCTGCCCCATCATTGACCTGTGGTGAAACTCCGGCTAAGGCTCCTTGTCGAGCGGGAGCAGGGTTTGGGTTGAGGGTTTAGGGTTTGTCGTGGTGTCGTTGAGTTCTCGGAGATACGCAACTATTGATGCCTTCAGCTTTGTCAGTGGTAGTCTTGGCATCTGGTGTAGTAGGACGGTTCTGGCACACCCCCAAATCTAAGCCCGGCCTGAAGCTAGCTTTTACGAAGCACATAGAAGAAAACTCGATAGCACACCCTTCGAAGTAGCCGGGCACCTACAACCCCACATGTCATAAATGCTTTTGGAGATTCAGGGTTACATGTGGCTTGCTCCCTGCTCCCTGCTATCTGTTCTTCTTGGACTTGTCGTCCATCTTCTTCTCGCAGCACTCATGTGTCGCACAGTGCTTGCTGTCCTTGCACCTCGGGCATCCCTATACGGGTCGTACTATAGGGGCCTTAAGAATTCGAATCAGGAATGGGGTTTTGGGGTTGTTGATAGAGTATATGTAGGGACCCTAAGGGAATATGACTAGTAATTTTTCCGACCCCTATACTAAAATAGATGCAGCAATATTTGGGGGAGGGAAAGGCCTCCTTCTCTCGCCTCAGGTTTTCAGGTTCCTGTGTGGGTTGGATGTATGGCTCTGCTGATATGAAGTAGGGTAGATATTTCTTGTACCCCCAAAAGGATATATACACTCACCAATCTTAAAAAGGAACCTTATATACACTCACCAAAGACAGTAATACAAACCCTGCTTCATATGAAGATTTGAACGAAACACCCGCTCAGCCCTTACCCTACACTGAATACTAGCCTCAGAGACCGCTTATTTTGCCCCCCCCCCCCAACCCCGGCTAACTTTCCGGGTTTTTCAATGGAGACAGCAGATATTCATGCTCTGGGAATTGGGGTTCTTGGGTACGGAAACTCCAGGTCAGGTTTTTGAGTTCTCTCTTTGGGAGCGCCCTCCCCCCCCTGTATGGACCGATAAAACCCTAAACCCTAAACCCTAAACCCTAAACCCTACATGCCTCTGCATGCCGGGGCGGGCCGAGACGGGCGACGCCCAACTTCGTAACTCGTAGTTCTTGGGCTCCTAAACCCTAAACCCTAAACCCTAAACCCTAAACTTGTCGGGTGCAAAGCCGGCCCACAGGAAATCACTTGCGACAACGATCTAGGCGACCCAGCATTTCTACAAACAGACCTGTGAGACATGGACCAGGCCCCTAAGGGATTGATTGGCTTAGGGGTTTCTGGTTTCGGGTTTCTAGGGTTTAAGGTTTATGGTGATCCCAACAGTTCAAACGGCTTTATGTTTCAGTAGGTTGAGTCCCCTGAGCCCAGGAAGTAACTCCAGCCCTGAACCCTCACACGACCTTCCTAATCCTTACCGTGGTCGAAGGGTGGGTGCTGGCTTCGGTGTGGCCGGGCGGCTGGACGGATGAAGAAGTGGAGTTCCTCAGCTCCCAACTAACTCTCAGCCCTACACCTCAATCCTAGAAATACCCTAAACCCTAAACCCTAAACCCTAAACCCTAAACCCTAAACCCTAAACATCCCTAAACCCTAAACCCTAAACCCTTCGCCAGCCTAAGTTGCTTCACCCTGAAAGCCGCCTCATCTGCCAATGGTGAATCTGAAAGACTCATCTTCCAATGCAAGAGTTGGATGAATGAAGCAGGTCAAGTTACCTTACCAGCAAATGTGAAGGGAATGAACTGATGGCACGAGGCGAAATTCACATGGGCTTTTGGTTGCAGTTCGTTTCGCATGGAACGAAGTTAAACATAAGAAGCACCGAAATGAACGACAGTAGCAGGATAAAACCAAAAAACTAGTCAAGTCTAGTGAAGATTACGCGCTCACTTGTTGTGTTGTAACCTCAAAGAAATAACTGGCTTTTGGAAGTGCATGGACTTCTATAACTACCACCTTGGTCCATGACTGGCTGTCATGACTGCTGTTCACGCGACCTCTTCTGTTCAGCTGAATTGCTTTTGTGCTTCACTTTAACCCATACTACATGCTCAGGCTGAAGGCTTCTATCACAAGGCTGTGTACAGTCTTCCGTAGTGTGCTCATGAGTGCCTTTGTGATGGATGTGTGCGGCGATGAGGCATCTTTGAAGGGTAGAGAAGGTAGAATGCTGACATGTGTTAGGTGTGCAAGTCCGGGTGGGACTGAATCTGTTAGTCTGGGCCTTTAGTGCTTCTGGCTTTTGGGGGTTAGGGTGTCTTGGCTTTCAACTTTCATCTTCAGGGTTTTTTGGGGGGGCCTCTGTGTGTGTGTGTGTGTGTTTTGGGGATCTAAGCCCGAAGCCCCAGCATCGCTTAGAGGCAGGGCACGTGCATACGCCCGCTGCGCCGCCCTCCCGCTTCTTGTTCTCGTCCTAAAGGGGCTCTGGGGTTCGAGGCTTTCTTCCGAAAAAATGGACAGGATAGGCGTCTTCGCAGTTTAGGGTTTGGGGGTTAGGGTTTGGGGGTTGGGGTTTAGGGCAGGATGGGTGTCTTCCTAGGCTTTTCTGGGCATGTAGGGGTTTTGTGCAAATTGCAGTTGCTGTTCGGTGGGATTCCGTGCCCAGGTAATACAGGGGGGGGAAAGGGGGGGGGAAACTGCTTGTCTAGGAACAGAAGGGTCAGGATTGAGAAGCTTCTTCTCCACCTGAGCCTGCGGCTTAAAACTGCTACTATGCCCGGAATTTTGACAGAGGGATTGTACAGGAATATTCTGGAAACCGTCCCTGCCCTCCCCTTAGTACAGGTCAACTTTCTCAGGTGCTCCATATAAACCGCGTCAGCAGAAGCAGCCTAAACCCCACCTTTGGAGTAGACCCTGGAAAAAAAGTATATACTTTTTAGGTATAAGTATCTATAGTAGGAACCCAGAACCAAAAAAGTATTAAAGTATAGTACTCCAAAACCCAGAAACCATAAGCACATGACGGAAAAACTTCAGGGCTTGAAAGTGGGCACCACCTTGAACCCTGAGCGACAAAACCAAGATTTCAGGGTTTCGGTTTGAGCTACCCTGAACTAACGAGGAAAACCCTAAACCCTAAACCCTAAACCCTAAACCCTAAACCCTAAACCCTAAACCCTAAACCCTAAACCCTAAACCCTAAGAGCACTCGAAAACCGGGACCCCGAGCCCAGAAGCAGGACAGCCGTGGCGAAGAGCTGGAGATTGGGACTTGGCGCGGGGCAATCAGAGT